AAAACAACTGATGCACCAAAATAAAAGATGAAGAAAAGTCTCAGACACACTGTGCACACTTAAATGACCAGGAAGGACGTCATATATATATATCAGAAGATAACTGAATCAGGCAACAAGAAAACAAGAGTTCTGACCCCGTCCCTTATTTCCCCCCGAGCCGTGTGTATAAGTGCTTTGTCCAGAGCGGGGCATTCACAGCCTCATGGTTAAGAAATAGACGTAAAACATCGTCATGGCTTGGACATATCAATTCTTTCCCAGCTGTCTCATTTCAACACGCCGTACCAAGTTCAGCTATTTATTACTAATCAATACTATGAATATGTTTTCTGTATGGTGGCTTTCATTGCTTTTCAGTCAAAGCTTAGTGCGTAGTTCAAGACGGCCCATTTCTTTACCTTCTAGATTTGGTGTTGGCTGACGTGTAAAGCGGTCGTAAACTAGGTCGGTTTTTTCCCTCTCTATTTTCTTTATTTTTCTCTTTTTCTGATTTGCTGTTGTTTTGTTTTGGGGGTGTTTTTTTAGCCACACCCTACGAACTGAAATGATTGGAGCTACGATCGAGAAAGGGCGTTTCAATTTTTTATATCTTCTGCTGTAACGCCCACGACTGTCTTGCGGCCTTATCAAAATCCTAATCTCACAAATTGTGGATCTTGTCCGACATTCCTTAAATATTGTCACAAACTCAGGTCACTGGGTGAGGCCACAGCTAACTAAGTGTTCATGAAAAGCAAATTGGCAGCTTCCAACTCGTCACTGGTCTATTACATTAATAAGTCAGTTTTAATATTTTAAAAATTAACGAATGTCTCTTGTGGATGGATAGGGTTTGATTGATAATGGCTTTGTTTCTATTGCAACGATAAAAAGTTTTCAGATCCATTTTCAATTCTATTTAAAAAATGTTATTTTACAAAATTGGAATACTCTTTGGCCCCCTTCGTTCTAAGATGTTTTAAGCTGTCAGTCTCACCCTCAACTATACCCCCACCCCCCACACACACACCCCACACAATTGCCCTTGACAACGTTGTTTAGTTGCTCGATATTCAAAATTTATTAAAATCTTTATTGTGCAAATTCTGGTACATCATTACCGGCATACACACACACACACACACACACACACACACACACACACACACACACACACACACACACACACACACACACACACACACACAGTTTTTTATTTTTTATATATATATATATATATATATTTATATATATATATAATATATGCATAATATAATTGAGCAATTACTTTTTACAGTAACAGTGCTAAGTTAGATGCACAATCTGCATTTTGATGATAACCAGGTGATATTCTGATAGAACATGCTTTAAAGATCAGTGAACGACATATTACAAGATGTTTATGACGGTGGGAGTTTACTGTATTATGGTGAAAATGATCTTCTGCATATTTATTTGTTACAAGCATATTATGTATTTTACTTCTTACTTTCATTTCTTTTGAGGGAACAAGTGATGTTAGTAGTCCCAAAAATAAAACTGATCTTTCTAGTGCAAGTGATATTGTATAATTCATCGAGATAAGGGAATGGAGATGTTGAATTTTAGCACGCCTGCCATATAAATCGATTCAAGTTTTACCCCGTCTTGATGTTTCCTGTTTCCGGCCCATACTGTCATATAAAGTTGATTGTACTTTTACTCTTTAAATAATAGATTATCGACAGCAATTATTTATCAACTGTAAATAACATGTGCTTCCTCAGAAAAAAATAAGTTTTTTTGTTCACTTCTCTTTACAGGAGAGACGTGCGGACAAACCAGTCGAGTTTCTTGTATATTATGGTAACATCGAAATACTTATTATCTGACACTTGCGGTACATTCTCATTTTTTTAAAACTTAGAGCGGCTGCAGGGGCACTTTAGAAAGCAGTTTAATATGTGTTTCACACAACTCAGAGAAGTTAACTCGATACTGCAAAAGCTTTCAAACTGTTTCAGTTATCAATTTTTTTATCGTGCCCAAAAGCATGACCTCTTGCGACTTGAGCCTGAAAACACTTTCTTTTAACATCTCCAGTTATGGGTCATATTTTTTTTCTCATCATGTCACACCATGCCATTGTCTACTGTCCCACTGATTTCCATTTTTGAACTTAGACAAAATGAAGATGTGCTGTCCTGGAAAATGGCCAGCCTTAACTAAGCCAAATATTTACCAGACTACGAAGTGCAACCAATGACCACTGGGTCATGGGGTGGTTTTTCCAAACCAGATATATATAGGCTGGATTTTCCAGTTGAAACATTTAACGCATGGGCCTAATTTAAAGTTCAAAGGTTTCTCGGAAGAAAATACCTCTATACAAAGAGGGAACAACCGACCAATTATTGGGTTTCCCCTTAAAACGCTGACATCTCCAGACGCTCTGACCTTGCTAATTCAAAGGTTATTTACCTAGCTTTACGTCGGAAGCAGGACAGCTCGTCCTGAATAGTGAACCTAGAGTTCTCCACCCTTGAAAGGTCCTCATTTCAAAATTCCTGGGATAAGTCAAGACAGCAAGTATTTCGGAATGTTGAAAGAGAAACTTCCTAAGCCAGGCTTACGTTCCTTGTCTCTTACGAATCACCTGATTCTGGGGTTTTCCCATGTAAGAATCTTTACCTTCCACAGCAGACACAGGGACACGTGCCACCCGTTTCAGTTTATCTTAGCTGTTACTGTAAGTGATTCACTGAGCCTTTGATAAGGAATACTGATGAGATGGCAGCGATTTTTCTTCAGGTGAAAAGTGCTAGATTTCTATTGTCTTTGGTTAAGTTACTAAATTTTTTATTATTATTATTATTTTATTTTTTTTGTTGTTGGGGGGGGGGGGGGTATTAGAATAATCAATTAATTCTATTCCCCTGATCACATGAGCAGTACAATTGAGTCCACTTTAGAACACTCTGCATGAGAAACGGGACAGCTTAAGAAACTACTTGTACCGTGTAACAAATCCCCCCCCCCCCCTCAATAATTTGCTTGTCTTTAAAATAGAAATCCGCTTAAGAACAGGTTTTAGCTCATGGCAACAATGTTTTCAGGGCTGCTTCGCCACACTTTGTGCGGGTTGTTGTGAAGGGAGTTGTTGGCGTAGACTAGCGAACGATAAATCTACACACGTCATTCATAGAACGTATTCTCAGGACGTGAGCTCTGCTGGGGGGGGGGGGGGGGGGGTGAGGGGTCAATCGCAAAGTAGTTTTTACGATTATTGTTACTATCATTTCATCCTCTCGGAGACCAAAGAGTCTAATTGTCTTATAAAATCTAGCAATTTCATGACCATTCTATCTCTCTCACATACACATATTTCCGGGGTGTTTTTACATCAATTCAGTGCTCTATCAAATAGTACTGGCAATGTCGCTTTGTAAAAATTAACTTTGAAGCCTCTATTTCATCACTTGCACACAAAACAACACACACCGTTCAGAGATGTACTCACACAGTTTGGTTGTTTTTATAGCAAATCTGTCTAACTTCCCCTGGCCTCCAGTTTCGCTTATGAGTCATTATTTTATCCCAGAATAAACAAAGGAAACCAAGAATTGGGTCCGCTTAAGAACCCGCTTTTGTCTCCCGGTGGCCGGGCTCCTAAGTGTATGCCATTGTACTGGAGACATTTAAATCGACAACAGTCATAGATGAAGGCAAAAAACCTTAAAATTTCTTGAAGATGTGTAATAATATAGCTGAGCACCTTGTCACCGTATTCTGCGATGCTCTCCAATAAAAAGTTAGCAGACTGACCCATTGTGTATAGTTATATGTTTATGGTAAAAATTGTGCGGTTTGGGGGGGGGGGGTTTGGGGTGGGTACCTTGCCACTCTGGAAAATGAAAAGACATGGACACAAAGTCTATATTAGAGAATATTTTCAAAATCGTGATACTGACGGCAATAGTTTCGAAAGCATCACAGTACACTATTTCCATGGCTGGTGTATGCATTTCAACTTTTCGTCAACTATGTATCATCTTATATTTGAAGCTAGAATCCCAATATATTTTAGGTAAATGTGTATTTTAGTACGAATTTAACGGCTCTTACAACACACATTTGTCATAGAAGCGCAGAAGAATCGATGGTTATTCGAAAGTAATAGAAAGAAAAGAAAGAGGAGAGATAATAACGATAAATATTTGATAGGAAATAAAGAACAAACCACACCACATCGCTCGCCAACCGGCCACCCTAACATGAATAGCACTTCAATAATTTCATATGAAATCTATCAAGTGCTGTCATGACTTTTGTAAATGGGCGTAAACTATATGTTATGAGATGGCTCTAGTTTGTAAAGGGGGGCGGGGAGCTCTTGTTACCAAGAGGTTAAGGTGTTTGCCTCTCATTCAATAGGTCCAGGGTTCTTCTCTAACATTTTTTTCCTTTCACCTCCTTTCTGCTCTCTAACAATATACTGTCGTCTGCTTTCCTCTCCACTTTCTGCCCCTACCCCCTCACCACCTTTGCCCCCATCTATGGGCTCTTGAGTCTTTCTGCAGCCTTTCTACTGCTACTCCTTCGCTCCTTCTTACTGCTGTATTTCAGCCACTCCCCTGATCTTCTGGTAGGGAAGATCTACACCTAGCCTTCTCGGACAAGGGCGAAAAATCCCAAGTGCAAGTTGCGCACATTAAAGATCCTTTGGTGGTCCAAAATCTTTTACCAACAGAAAATGTTTTGTGTGTCCCGCGCGTTCATATGACATTATGCACTTGCGAGCGCCGTAAAACACTTATCCCCCCCCCCCTGTAACAAAAAATAATGAATTAAAAATTAATAAATAAATAGTAGCATGAAAGGTGAGATGTCCCCTTGAACAATGTGACCTGTTTATGTTTGTATAGAGTCCACACTTGTTACGGGCTCACTCTCGCTCTCGCTCATGGTGAACCATCCATCTGCTGAAACGGTCGACATCATTATCTCTGTGTTTTCTGAATGTAAAAAAAGCTACGACCTTACAGGTACAAAAGTGCTTTAAAGAGCAAGTAATAAACAAACAATAAACAATAAATGCTTACGTCAGAGACGAGCGAGATTCCTCGGCCTTCGGGGTAGGTCCAGGCAGTACAATCAAGCCGACTCAGCACAATCCCTGTCTGACCATCCGTTATTTCAGCGCTAGGGGGGGGGGAGAAAACAAACGAAAAAATAAATCACACGTCTTATATAATGCTACCCTTTTTGGGTGTATTCTTGATAAATAGGCTGCTGAATATATTAGGCTGAGTAAAAAGAAAAACTCGCACGCCAATAAAAGAAACAGGGTGGCTGCGGTCGTCCAGTGGTTAGGCTACCGGATCTGTAATCGTGAGATTGCGGGTTTTGGGTTAGAGGGTTCGAGCCTCAGCTGGGTCCGACGTTCTGTCCTTGAGAGAGGCACTTTACACGACATTCCCATTTGGCTCTGTCCTTCCGGAGATTGACGTTAAACTCGGAGGTCTCGCCTCTTGAATAACTTATAGTGCGGTCAAATGTTCGGGACACAACGTATCCTGAAATATCACTTTAACAGGGGAATCAATATCATCCATACTTTGCACAGCAGTGTATCAATTTGTCCTAACAAGATCTTTTAAAAACTTTTCTTCGTAGATATATATATATATATATATATATATATATATATATATATATATATATATATATATATATATATATATATATATATAATACTATAAATCTCCGTCACGCAGAAAAAGATTTGTTCACAACTCTTCCCACTTCTAAAACATATTTTGCATACCGATATAGCCTACGTCCAAAGAGGTTATAAATAGGACCAGAGGTCTTAGCTGAGAAGTCATGAGTGTCAAACCTGAGGTGCGCACCGACTTTCCGGAGGGGAATAAAAGGTCAGTCGATGCACAGCAACACTTTTCAATCACGGATTAATGATACTCCGCGAAGTTTTTTTTTGTTGATTTCTTTTTCACGCGATTTGTCTATCACTGAAATGTACTCGTACGGATTTTTTTGATTGTTTAGCTTTAAATGGCCCAGATAACCTCCAAATAATGCAAATAGGGCCTTTTAGACCGTGAGACCATTTATGAGTGAGTAAAATTTATGAAAAAATGGATGAAATGGATTTAATGATTACTTGTTATAATTTTTTAAAAACATAATTTTTGAAATTTTTAGCTGTGCGTCCCTCAAACAGTATGTCCAGATTAGCACCGCTGACTACAGCAAGGCGCTAGTATCGGCCCTCTGGAATCAGGAATGTGACTGAGAAGCTGCTAGAGGCTTCAGCTCCAACTCTAGCACACTTTCAAGACTGGCAGAACTGAAAAGAATCACTGTCGATGTTGAGATGAGAGAATATTAAGTAGACAACCAGGCGTGAATACCCACCAATAAGACCGGTGTAATAATTATATTCTGTCTCATTTGCGGAACCGATTCCAAACAGCATGTGCAATAGCAGCAGCAAGGCTCATGGAAAATGCGGTGTTGTGTAGCCAAACACCATTTCCATTTAACGCCAATATTAGAATATTAAGATACACCGGCTATTTATCAAAGTGTTGTATTTTAAAATATTGTCAGGTGGGTGTGCGCACAGGATCCATACAATGAGTGATTTACGGTATCCTCGCCTACGATTTAGTGCTCATTTATGAGACAATAACTTTCAAAATGTGCGTACCCCTTTGAGTGCCAGTTGCAATAAATATTAAGAAAAGATTCCTGTAACAAGCCATTATACTGTATAACGTCATAGTACTATGTCACTCTGTTGGTGATTTTTTTCTACTTACCTGCAGGCAGTGGCTGTGACATTGACAGAGCTGTCATTTGAATATCTCTGTAAGATTTGTGTTTCGTTCCACTGAGAACATTCGTATTTCACGGGACGGGCTGTTGAAGAGAAGTCCTTGAATGTTAGAGTACAAAACTAAGGGAAAGAGACGAATTAAAACTCTTGCTTAAAACTCATCCTGTTGTTAGAGAGTTACTTTACAATAAAAATTAATGTTACATAAATTACCGCCAGAAGACCATAGAACACTCGGCAACATTCTCGGCTTTCCTGGACCAATTCAATGCTCGCAGTCAATTAAGTCTCGAGACTAGGAAGGATCTTTCGCTGGCTGTCTACAATGTATCTTTAAAGTGGTACAACATTCTGCCTTCTCTACGGGGCCCTTCTACGGCTTGGCGCGCTTTCACACAGTAAATTATAGTTTTAAAAAATCGTCAGATTGAATTCAGAACCCTCCTTTCCCAGGTCACGACACTTTGGATCAGGCGCTCGTCACTTTATGGGCATATGGTGTAGTTGGTATAATCTTTAAGCTTGATCATTTGCTTTGCTTTCAGTGAAAAAAATACCCATCAGTTAAAAACAAATTTCGAGAAATTTGAGATTGAAGTAGGTCGGGGGAAGGGGGGTACTGGTCTCTCTCTTTCTCTCTCTCTCTCTCTCTCTCTCTCTCTCTCTCTCTCTCTCTCTCTCTCTCCCTCTCTCTCTCTCTCTCTCTCTCTCTCTCTCTCTCTCTCTGTATATAAAACATGTGTATACATTTTTAGAATGTGCTCTTACTTGTGCGAGTGTACATTCTTCCACTGGTTTGGGGGCTGTTAGAAGTTGTAGGTGCATATGACTGCAGTTTAGTCTAAATAGCCTGCTTAAGAGTTCGTGCGCAGGAGCAAGGAAAGAATGCAAAGTGGAACTTTCTCTCAGAACGAACATCATTACTTTTATTCTGATCATTGTCTTTTATTTTCGTTTTGTCGCGTCAATGCTGGCACCGCAGTAAGTCGTTTGTATCCGATTTCAATTTGCAATAGTCTTGCAGCGATAAATTTAATAAAACGGGAGTTTTTCTTTTTGCTCTGATTAGCTTTACTGGTGGTTTACGTGTTTTTTTGAGAAGCTTAAGAAGTAGCACTACTTTTGCTTACAACTTCCACTAGAAGGTGAAACATCCGGTAACTGATTTCGACTCTAAATCATATTCTTCCCGAACAGAGGATGAACTTAGAATTTAATAGAGAGGCAGTTCTAAAATCTTCCTTTCTCTCTGGCTCTGTCTCTCGGTCTTTGTCTCTGTCTCTGTCTCTTGGTCTCTGCCTCTGTCTGTCTGTCTGTCTGTCTGTCTGTCTGTCTGTCTGTCTGTCTGTCTGTCTCTCTTTCTCTCTCTCTCTCTCTCTCTCTCTCTCTCTCTCTCTCTCTTTCTTTCTCTATCTATCTATCTATCTATCTATCTATCTACTATCTATCTATCTATCTATCTTTCTTTCTCTTTCTCTTTCTCTCTCTTTCAGTCTGCTTTTCTCTCTCTCCCTCTCTCTCTCTCTCTCTCTCTCTCTCTCTCTCTCTCTCTCTTCCTCTCAGTCTGTCTCTCTCTGTCTCTCTCTCTGTCTCTCTCTCTGTCTCTCTCTGCCTTTTCTGTCTCTTCCTCTGTCTGTCTGTCTGTCAGACAGTCAGTCAGTCAGTCAGTCTCTCTCCCTCTCTCTCTCTCTCTCTCTCTCTCTCTCTCTCTCTCTCTCTCTCTCTCTCTCTCTCTCTTTCTTTCTTAATCGCGTTCTTTTTCTCCGTTTTTTACTATTAACTGCGAAGGCGGTAAGCGAAATCTATCTTTAATTTAGAGCATCTTTCTATTAATAACGCTTGGTATCTTCAAATGCGCTCAAAGGTCATCTCAATAGTTTTATACGCCTGCGAGTCGTGGACACTGACAGCAGAATTAGAGAAAAAGATTCAGACCACAGAGATGAGATGTTACCATAGACTCCTTGACATCTCGTACAAAGACCGCGTTTCAAATGCTGAGGTGCGAAAGAGAATCACCCACGCAGTGGGGCAGCATGAAGATCTATTGACCAAAGTGAAGAGACGAAAATTAAAATGGTATGGCCATGTCACAAGATCCACGGGACTTGCCAAAACAATCCTGCAAGGAACCATACAAGGAAAGAGAAAGAAAGGAAGGCGGAGAAGGAGATGGAAGGACAACATTACAGAGAGGACAGGAAAGACGATGGGATACAGTCTGAGGAAAGCAGACAAAAATAGATGGCGCGAGCTGGTTTTCAGATGCAGTGGTGCCCCCACTTTTGCCACAATCACGGGATAGAAGAAGAAGAAGAAGAAGAAGAAGAAGAAGAAGAAGAAGAAGAAGAAGAAGATAGATGGGTCTAGTGGCATTGAGAACTGAGTACCGCAGAACTCTCTTAATAATAAATGTCGCGTGCGGTGGAATCAGGGTCTCGTCAGTTTTTGGGGCATTTTGAGTTATTGCACAGTCTTGAAATCTGTTTATTTGCCTGGCTTTGCATTAAAAAATACTCATGTATCTTGAATAGACGTTGGGATTTTTGCGATCAAAGGAGTCGCCTAGTGTCCGATGTAAAATTAGCGGGAGGGAGAATAACGGCCAAAATCTGGTGATTTGTAAAGCTGTCGTGTCTATGAAAAATACACATTTGCAGTTATGTTCTTTTGATCAAGGTTTTTTTTCCTGCTCAGGTCTACGCAGGAATGTGTGTTCAAACTGATATAAACAGAGTTAAAGCCAAGATAAAGCAGCAAATTGAAAAAAATATTGCGTAATACGCAGAAAAAATATCGATTTCACCGATTTCATTGTTTAGACAAGAGTCTGATTTCACCACAATGCCAGAAATATGTTGGAACTGTATACCAATAGCGTCACCAGTATACAAAACATCATGTATTATCCTAGTCAGGTTTACATCAAGATAAGTTGAAAATCCAAATCTATTTGCTACATAACTGAAACCAAAAAGACACATCTTTGCTCTTCATCGTTTTTGGATATTTGTTGCAATGCAGATTGGTATAGAGAAATAAAAACATTGTTTTTAGCAAAGCCATATCTGGATTATATAATGGATAATATGCAACGTATGATTGAACAGGCCAGCTTTAGGATTGGGTGTTATGGTTTAGAGGTGGATATTGAATGAAAAGAAGAATATCACGAGGAGGGGGAGGGGGGTGTGCAATATGAATGTTATGGAAGACTAACAGTATTTATTTGTTTTATTTCATGTTTGAATTTCTTTTTCAGGACAAAAGACAATCATGCACTTCCCAGAAGTACTGCATGTTCTCCAAAGAGATAAAATAGATAGATCTATTAAATAAATATATTTCTAATCAAATTAGAATTGTAATATTTCTATCTTGTGAAACAAGTAACGTATTTTGTACTCAAACACAGTACAAACAAAAACAGCTGGTGTTTGAATAACGTAATACAAGCCTAAATGTTTCTTTTGAAACCTTTTAATTTTAATTTTCATTAAAACATGTATCTGGGATATTGGAATAAAATTGAGAAAAAAACCAATAAGTTATCTAATCAAATCAAATTAAATCTCTCTCTCTCTCTCTCTTTCACTCTCTCTCTCTCTCTCTCTCTCTCTCTCTCTCTCTCTCTCTCTCTCTCTCTCTCTCTCTCTCTCTCGCTCTCTCTCTCCCTCTTCCCCCCTCCTTTCTCCTGCAAGTGTGTGTCACATTATGAAATTATTAATATTCGTAATAATAACAGCAATGATCTTAACGTTATAAAAATAGCAATAATAATACTATCAATATTATAATAATCATACTACTACTACTACTACTACTACTACTACTACTACTACTACTACTACTACTACTACTACTACTACTACTACTACTACTACTACTACTACTACTACTACTACTACTACTACTATTACTACTACTATGAATAATAATAATAATAATAATAATAATAATAATAATAATAATAATAATAATAATAATAATAATAATAATAATAATGATAAAAACATAGATCTAATTCAAAAGAACCGAATTGGGTCTTTTTTTTCAATCTCTCAACAGAAACTATAACATGCAACTTGGCACACGCGCCAGAAACAAAAAAAAAGTGAGAATAGTTTACTCACCACTGAAGATATTGCAGAAGAGCTGAAAAGCCGTGGGGATGTAACAACTGCTGATAAAGATAAACTGGACCAAAGTGAAGGTCTTGGTATTCCACATAATCTGTAGCAGGGCATCAACGGCCTGTGCGTGAGAATCTCCGCTGGAAGATGCCCTTATCTTTTTCTCACTAGCCATTTTGACGAGGCTTAATAGCACCACTCCTTAGTTTAATTGTTTTCCAGCCGAGTTATTCCGTGCCGATTAGAAACCGCCTTCAAGTTATGAGCAAAATCAACTTAACTGTCCGTGTTGTTGTGCTGCGTGTGTTTTGTATTTCTAAATTGTGACAGAAACGCGCACGATGAATAACATCATTTCATCGGATCAAACAGGTTCTGACCCTGTTTTAACAGCTTAGAGAAAAGCTTGAAGTTAACCCACAGCTCTTAGAGGTAACCGAGTCTAATATGGAATCAATGATAAAATTCCTTGCGTTAATCGCTGGCAAACCCTTAAATGTTAACAAGTCTGTATAAAAGATTTAGGCCTACTCGTTTTCTTGGAATTTTAAATAAAAGAAACTGTGGTTATGTTGAAGATTTAAGATCTTCCGTCCTTTTCAGACATTCAAACGGTACCCTGTTAGTTTGTGCTTGTCTTTATGCGCTGTTCCTTTTCTCGAAGAATTTTGACAGCTTTTATTTTCTCAACGAGTACACTGATGATTGTTAAAATACTCTCCAGGTAGATTTCACCATGGATCTGCAACACAAAAAAAGATGGAAAAATTTTATTTGAATAGTGAACAAAAAAACCCACTAAAACTATAGAAACTCTGGTCAGTGATATTCTAACGAACATCACTTCCCGAACGGCATAAATTATGCCTGCCTGAAGGGCGACGGACACTATCCCCATGGGGGAAAAACAAAACTATTAACTCGTGTGTTATAATAAAAAAGCAAACAAATAAAAAATACATTTTTCTTTATTGGTCCCCTTGGGAATCTTGTTTAACAATGGCAATCATAAACACACAAACAGATCAATGTAATCAGTTTTGCAACTACACAATGTCACTTAGTCAATCCAACAGAATTGCTGGTCGACAGTGTACAGCGCCCTGTTTCGAACACCTGGTTGAGGGAGTGAATTTTTAACAGTATATGTCTCTCTAGAATGTCAGAAGTTGACCTTGGGTTGAATTTAGGGCCTACGTCGAATCCCACCTGGGTATTTCTTTATTTAAACGTCTTTCGTTTGTTGAGCCTAAGGTTACATGGGGTAGACAAACAATAAATACTTTTTGATAACAGGTGTGACTATTTCTCATTATTGATCTAGTTTAAAACAATTTGGTTAATACAGTAATTGATCACACACTTTATTTTCTCCCCCGCTCAGCAGGGAGATTATAATAATATACTATCCCATCTCTATTTGGGGGTGCCACCCTACGTGACAACCCCCCTCCTGTAGTATGATGAAGACTGTTTTTTTTAGTTCCACTCAATGTGTTTCCTCTTTTTCCTGTCTTCATTTTATGGTCATGCTGACAAAAGATCAGCGTAAGAGAAGCCTTCAAATATGAAAACGCCTTTGAAATAATCACAGTTGTGTTCCTGGTGCGTGGAGCACTTACAAAAACAACAGTCACCTAATTCCATTGACTAGTAGTAACTTTGATTGGTAGGTTTTACATCTAAATCCTATGATATCGTTCATTAAAGTATGTCAGACACACATATGAAACAACTGTTTTCATTAAATACAGTTATTAGTAAAACAAAGAGTTTAACAGTGCCAGATTGTCCAGGGTAACCGACGTAACATAAAGTATTTTACGTCAATGTCAAATTCGTACCTGTCCTGGTCAACTCGACCACAAGCTAGAATACGTTATTCTAATCTAAACAAAGTGAACAAATCTAAGACGTGCGTGTAGTTTTTCGCTTAATCTTAAAGTAGGTCATCAGCGTGAAAGCACTTGCAGTTTGCCATGTTCTCTTTGAAAGCATACAAACATAAGCCTTTTCATGAGAAAGATAGCAGGTGGCTATCTTTTTAGTTTTAGTAAAAGCTTTACGGCACTTGCAACACAAATAGATCATTTAAGTACGGAGGATTAGAGATATTACTAGAGAGTAACATACAAAGAAAAGGAAAAGGGCAGAGGATGGCGATTAATATTTGATACGAAAGGATCACCCGCTAACCACCCACTATAGTTAACTAACTAAAAAAAAACGGACGAATCGTGTCAGTGATGTTGTTCTCAGTACTGGTGCCCAATTTCTCAAACGGCCTGGAACTGTCAAGCGCTTGTCGTTGGCAAAGAAAGTTCAAATCAGGTAAATATACAATAATAGGTGATGTACACACATGATGTTCTGGAAAGATATAGGCCTACAGCTGTACAAATAAGAGGTTGAACTGGTGTGGTTTCTTGACTCGCAAAGGTTAGCTTCGAAATTCTCAACAGCTGGTCAAATTGAAACATTTTACTAAACCAAGTTTGTATGATCTAGACTTACTCCAACGTTTTGATTTCAATGTAAAAAAAAACAACAACTGGCGAAAGGAAGTCCATGAATATAAAATGTTTCAAAAATATTATCCTATTTATACCACTTGCCGATCCCATGGTTTTCCAAGCTTACATTTATTGGTAATAACGGTGGTTTCCCTTCTGTTTAATGATTTCTTTTTTCTCTTTTCTTGGGTGTTTGTGTGTGTGCGTATGTGTATGTGTGTCAATGTGTGTGTTTGTTTTTTGGTTTTGTGTGTGTGTGTGTGTGTGTGTGTGTGTGTGTGTGTGTGTGTGCGTGTGTGAGTGTGTGTATTTTTATCCGTGCCTTTCTGTCCTCCTCCTCCTCCTCCACATCCCCTCCATTTTAAAAAACAAAAAGATGTGTCCGATTTGTGCTGATGTCCGTCTGTCCCTCAAGACAAAATGAATTCAATCAGTCCAACGCAAAAGGCAAAGACTTTCACAGAATCGTTTTAGTGATTCCAAAATTACTATATCTAGACCTTGTTATAACCACAGGTATAAAGGTTACGAAATAAGTGAGATTTATAGAAAAATCTTGTTGGTAAAAATCAGCTAACAAACTTTACCTTGTTGTTTTTCCATCGGAAACCTAAGTGAAAACGAAAATGATTCATTAAAAATGGAAGATTAATCACACTCACTGCTTAATCACGGAACAGTCGCGCACTGCTGAGTTGCTTTGGTAATAGTTACGGTGCCGACTCAGACGAAGAACCGATCTAGATCTAACACTTATACTTTAACACTTGAACGTGTCCCAAGCAGTTGTTACTGCCCTCTGTTCGTGTATTAGCAATCCGTTGTGAACAAATAACAAGGTTGTCGCCTCGGGAACAAGGAGAGACGATGCAAAAGTGAAAACCCATACGCTTCATGTGCTGGTCTTGTCGAATAGCGCGGGATTTTATATCGTTCAGCGAGACAGACATGAAAAAAAAAAGGTTACGCTCGACCCACGGTCCAGTTTTCCAGAGTAGCTGCGGTTTTATCTCTCCTTAAATAAGTTTGGCTATTGGCTCGGCAAGAGACAGGCAGTCCATCGTATAAATAAAACGGCTTTTTGGAATGAACTTTGACAGAATGTAATAATTTATATTAAGTTTTGATTTACTTGTCTTACTTGTCCTCTGTTCACTGTGTTGGGGTCACTGCAGTCGGAATATGAACTCTTAACACGTATTAATATATTCGTCTTTATAAGTTTTAAAAAATGGTAAAAATTCAACAATAAATAAGCAACGTTTTGTTAGTGTTAATTACCGAAAAAAAACGTAAGTTAACCTGCGGAATTCGTTATACCATGAGCTAGACGCAAAATAAGATTTAAAAAAAAACCGAAATTAACGCCTTCGGTTGTGAGCGACAACCAAGACGGTCGCAAAAGCATACACACGAAAATGCTTTAGACCAAGACAGTCACTAAGTTTAGTACTTATTAACTATTAGAAAGTGGGGGTGTGCTGTAAGTATGCTAATCTTAATCTTTAGTTGGTGTAGATAGGGCAAGGACCATCCGTCTCGGGAAGATGTACCCTTCGATATATTATTACTACGACTTCACAAAATTTATTACTAATGTTTGGCCTTTATTAAAAACTATCTGGGTGTTTCGTTGTTTCGCAATCTTTAAGTTCAACTTGTAGTCTAAAATAAAGATATTTTATTTGATGAAATAGAGGGCTCACAGTTTAGGTCTATGCTAGACGGTTTTTATAAGACTTGGTAGTTCACGTCGAACTTCAGTGGGTAAAGAAATAAAAATGGGTAGTTTAGTTTGCCTTAGTGTGTGCGATTTGGGATTTGCGAGTTAAACTATGAGTGTGTGAGTGTGTGTGTGTGTGTGTGTGTGTGTGTGTGTGTGTGTGTGTGTGTGTGTGCTTATGTGCTTGTGTGTAATGTATGTGTGTGTAAGTGTGTGTAAGTGAGTGTGTTGTGTGTGAGAGAGTAAATAAGGGTGTAACCTTATGCGAATAAAAATAGGCAAGAAGGTTGACTAAGAGAGAGAGAGAGAGAGAGAGAGAGAGAGAGAGAGAGAGAGAGAGAGAAGGGGGGAGATAGAGAGATCGAATGTGTATGCTGTGTTACTTGCAGCACTTCGCGAGAAAGTAGACCACTGTATTCACTTCCCATCACGGTGCATGGCAAATCTAGAAGGATTTATGTGCTATAATGTTAGTATCTTGAAAAAGTAATAACTGGTGACCGCAAGGTTCTTCAATGTGGGTTTTTATCTTTTTATTTTTTTTAATGACAGAGGAAAGAAGCGCTGAAGACGCATGTCAATAGGTGAAAGAAAACAATAAGAAACGAAAGGTTTGCAAATGCCTCGAGGCCTACTGAAAAAAACACAATAGTCGAACCTTGGACTACTTTCAGTTACATGGGCGCTTACGTAGTATATGACGTGCGAACCTTGGCCGGCTCACCTAAAATGGATTCCGTGCGGGGCTATTCTGGAATTCCCTGGTCCACTTATTTTATTCTTTTCATCTGAAGCGAATCTCTTAAAGTTTCTAATTTCTAGCCACTAACTCTAATTAATGTGTACGCTACGTTTCCTTTTGACAGATCACTTGCAGTCGCTAGCACATACATTAATTTTGCCATATCTTCCACCCAAAAACACACTGTTTTTGTGAAGACTGGCATGTTTTTTTCAAAATCCAGTATGTACAGACATGGCAATCATATAAGGGAATTTTATATGACCTTGGGGGTCTAGTACCTTATTCAGACAGTCAGATGTACTTAAGTTCTCCGCTCCGGGCAAATTTTTACACTTTTGGTTATCACGACTACCTATCAAACGTTATTTCAGAGTTGGCGTAATTTTCCTATCTATAATGGTACAGGGTTAATATTTTCACAATGTGAACTCGGTATTATAGGTAGTTGCAACGTTTGGAATTTTTTTGGTATTCTTCAAAATAAGCGAGATTTTCCAGATTTTAACATATTATGTTATTATGCCCTGCTAAAACACCAAAATATCCTTTAAAATCGGAGGCATTTAGACCGTAGTAGTATGAAAAATATTCCATAAATCAAAAAAGTCTCTAACAGGTTGCAACTGCGCCAACTGCCCGCAGTGAGATCAATTTTCAAAGGATTTCTAAAAAACAGCCTCCGAAATCACACTGTACTAAAATCCCAATCTCTGAAAATATCGCATTTTTAAAGAAAAAAGCACAAAAAACAACCGCAAAAAATGCGTTCGCCATGTTATTACTTTTTTACAACCGTAGACAGATCAATGCAATGTTCGTCGTTTTCAGTATTTACTGCTGCACTATACCAATCACCCAGTTTAGAATAAGAAATGAAATAAGAACGCAGTTTGGAATGATGAGATAATACCTTTTTTAAAAGAGAATAACACAAGAAGAAGAGGGGGGGGGGGTTACCCCAAAGCTTGAAACAGTGCAGTCATAGCCATAAGTAATTCAAAATAACAAAGCAATATAGAGAAAGTCTTCTAAACACTGAAGTGATGTACATTTCTCAACAGGTGGAATTTTCAGGATGAAACTTGAGTAGGTTTGTGGGGTGTATTTTTTTCTGCCTAGATATAATAGTTTTTTCATATTTTAACTTTCATCCAAAAGTAACCGGCCCTGCCTCCAGACAGTAGCATCACTGAACCAAAAAATAAGCCCCACCTCTGTTTGCTGAGGTATATTATGATTGATAACATATACGATAATGCCGACAGTTTAAACTTAAAATCCGATTCAGGTCCGATCACTGTTCATAATGTGTATTGATTAGCAAAGCATTCTGCATTGCGCACTGAAGACACGAGTTCGATTCCGTATCAGAAAGATGATTTCATCGACCATCTCCACACTTGCTAAAACTTTTGGAACAAAAGAGCGTTCTTAAGTCTCGACAGCGGTGATAAAAGTAAGATGTCCTGCATGAGTTCGACTCTCAGACAAGCATGGTCAATCAAATTTTGGTATTAGTTAGCTTTTCGTAAATAGTCTGTTTGTACGTTGCTTTTTGCATGTTTACTTCACTGTTGTCACGGTGAGGAACACATACGTTATTGAATTTTAAAAAAGAACCTTTTGCTAGTCAACAGTAGTGCAAATAGTGAACTGCATTTTTTAAAAATTACTGAAAAGGAGAGGATTGCGGATTGTGAACAAGAAAAAGAGCAGCAGTGAACCTCGTATTCAATGCAACGAATCTGTCGAGTCCAACGTCCAAGATTGTTGGCCCCCAAAGTAGAAGTGGGCAAAATCCGGATAATCTATAAGGATAACCGGATAATTCTCAATGAAATATCTTCTGAATTCAGACTCTTAACTCTCTTTCCTGACCCCTGTTTACCGAAGTGGGTGCTCCCATTTGTTGAAGTGATTCTAACCCGTTTGTCGAAAAGGTTCTAACCCATTTGCCCAAGTGGTTCAGAGCATACTATTTGCAGAAGGGGTGCACTACTATTATCCGGATTTTGCTAAAGCGACTCATTGCCCAGCCCTACCCCAAAGCATTTCAGATGTCAGTGCAAGGTTACCATGGCAAATGCTGGCTAATCTTGGGATCCTTTTGACTAGCTGAATCAAAAGTTATTAAAAATTTTTAAGAGAGACCACATTAGGTTAGCATTTAACAACAGGTAAACATGCCTATCGTCAGCAATATTTACTTGGTTCCTGAACTTGGCCAGTTATGTGGAAATAGCTAAATCATTGAGTAACACATACCGAGATAACACCAAGTCTCTCTCTCTCTCTCTCTCTCTCTCTCTCTCTCTCTCTCTCTCTCTCTCTCTCTCTCTCTCTCTCTTCTCTTCTCTTCTCTTCTCTCTCTTTAGGGGGTGGTTGGCGGGTGCTCTGGTTAAGTGTGCTCTTTCTTTCCTTTTAAAGTCTATCATCCTTATCTCTCCTTCTTTTTTGTGTTTGAGTAATATATGCAAACACTCGATATATTCGAAAGGAGACACACACACACACACACACACACACACACACACACACACACACATCAACACACACACACACACACATATACACACACACACACACAAATGCACACGCATACACACAAACACAAAAGAGAGAGAGAGAGAGAGAGAGAGAGAGAGAGAGAGAGAGAGAGAGAGAGAGAGAGAGAAGTGGGGATAAATAGAGAGATGAGTAGGACAAAGACACAAGGGGAAATGTGAGAGAGAAATGGAGAGAATTAAGTACCCTCCTCCCCCCTCTCCCTCTTTTCTTTCTCTCCGTCTCTAACGCGCTTCCTGTCCAGCCCGATGAGACAAAAAGGACTCAAATGGTGTGATCTGAATTTCGAGAAAATTGCATTGGGGCTGCTTGCTGGACAAGCTGTTTACTTCTCGTTATTAGGCATGTTCATATCTCTTCAGCTTTCGTTATAATTATTCGTTTTCCTCAGCAGCAAGTCACGTCATCCTGTTGAGGAAGGGAACCACGTATATGTTTATCTGGAACTGAAGCTGACATTGGTGTCTGTAAAGTAGTCGCTGATTGGGTACCCATGATGAAGCGGGGGGCTCTCGTAGCCTAGAGGTTACGGTGCTTGCCTTTCATTCAAAGGTCCAGGTCTCGAATCCGGGTAGTGACCGAAACCTTTTCTTCTCTAAAACTGTCTCCTTTCACCTCCTTTCCTACTGCTCTCTAGCAATGCTGTGTCATTTGCTTTCGTTTCCACTTTCTGCCCCCTCCCAATCGTTTCCCCCGTTCTCTGCGCTCCTTACTTTCTGCAGCCTTTCTACTGCTACTCATTGGCACCTTCTTACAACTGTCTTTCAGCCACACCCCTGATCTTCTGGTAGGAAAGATCTACACCTAACCTTCTCTGACAAGGGTGAAAAATCTCGGAGGTCTCGTGTGCAAGTTACGCAGGCTAAAGATCCCTTGGTTGTCTAAAATCGATAAAGGTAGGCTTCGGCCGCAACCCGGGCAAAGTTCAAAATTTCCTACCAGCTGAAAATGTTTAATGTGTCCCGCGCGCTCATGTGACCGTATGCAGTTACAAGCTCCAAAAAAACACCTACCTGAAGATAATAATGATAATAATGCAGGGTGTCTGGTAGGTCATACTCCATAAGCCAAAGTAAAGTATTACCTACGAGCACACACACCCCACCCGTCGACAGATCGTCAGTTGCTCAGATGAGAATAGTTTGGGTTCATTCATGTTGGAAAACTGCACTAAGAATCAACGTTT